CTGCCCCCATCCCCCACCTCCATAATACTGCTCAACACAAAACAGGCAGACCTTTAGGCCAATACATGCTCTCAAACCTTCTGTTTGTACAGTCTGAAAGCAAATGAAAGGCTCCTATCAGGCCTCAGGGAGGTCTGTATCACCAAATATTTTGTACTTTCCCAACTTGACATTTCAACAGCTGCCAGGTGTGTGCACAGGTGTAAAAATGGGCAGAGTGGTCGTCAACTTCTTTTCTCCAAATTCCTCACATTCCTACTTTCATCACTGTGTTCACTGCTGAACAGCACTTAATCAGGGCTGTGTTGACAGCGATGGAGGTGGCATGCTTTCAGGAAAGGGATGGGAGGCGTATGACTCAAATCAAGTCCTGAAAAATGTCCGTAGCTTTACCCACCATTCAATATTTTTTAATGCAACTCTCACATTTGGTATTAAACATAGACCAGAAGATGCAAATAACGGTACCTGTTTTTATCTGTAAAATGTATTTGCCTCAGCCGGTGTATTGATCGCTTGTTTGTTGTGGAGGACATCTGCATTATCTGACCTTTTTAAAGATCAGAAGCTGTTAGCAATTATCCAAGTTTTTAATGTGTGTGATTCATCATTATTTAAATGTCCCACTGTGTGCAATGTTTCACTGTGACTTTAGGTGAAACAATATGCGAGTATGTTGGCCTCTGGAGTTTATCAGCATGAATTAAATGTGTCAAGAGAACAAATTGTTTACAAACTAACTAGTACTAACAACTAATACTAGGCTACAACTGTAACTGTCTGTTACAGTTTGTTAAAGTCAGAAAAAGCAGACACACTAGACCATGATGTAAATGTAATATATATTACAAATATTTCATTTGGTCCAGGGCTGGTAACTTGGATGTGAGCGAGCAGGCAGGCGAACACTGGTGAAGGTTTGGAACAGCAGTAAGGTGGAAACCGGTACGGAGATCCTGGCTGCAGACGGCACAGAAGAAACACACGGTGAAGTTATGCCAAATACAACATTAAACTCTACCAGTCAAACTAGCATTGGTAAAGTCAAAGCTGGCTAAGGTATATCAGGAAGCCAGGAGTCTTTAAGCAGGATGGTTGACTGGAAACTGCGTCAAGTGTGCAGCTCTGCCAAGAATCCAGGACAAGTAACCGCCTACATACAAGCACGCAGACACATGAAAGGGAAGGGGAAAACAAGGGAGAAACAGAAAACATTTTTGTTCCTTACTTATTCTGCCGTTTCCTACACAAACTTTTGCTTCCTGATTTAGCTGATTTACAGTATCATAACCTTGTAGCGCCTATGTGTATCTATTTTACCACTAGTATTTTGGCCACCTAGTGCCAACTGCCTAGGAGTTTAAAAAGTGTTTAATTTGAAGACGTACAGCTACAGTACAAGCCAGATTGTTAACTCAGTATAAAAGAATTGTAGTTTCTGAAACCTGCTGATAGTGAGGTCTGAAGATTATTACAGGAAAGCTGTTTCTGTGGCTACTGATTTTTTTAGATGTAATTTCTCAGTGCTGTTGTCACGGCCGGGGGCCAGAAACTCAAACGCAGACTAGAGAATGCACTGAAAGTGGTTTATTGAGCTCTAGGGGAGTCCTGGGAGAGGTTTGGGTGTGGTGGTCGCTCTGTGGGTCTGCAGCTCTGGTCCCAGAGTCTAGATGACTCCGTGGCATAGGAGGGAATCCGCGTGGCGCAGGTCCTGGCTTCTGGAGGCGAGACAAAGAGAGAGAGCCGTTAACAATGGTGCAAAGGTTCAGACAACGTACTGAAACTAAGGTTGACAAACTGGCTGGCGTGTCCATACAGATGAAGTACAACAATCCGGCGGGGACTGGAAGGTTGGCAGATCCTTTAAAGGCGTGTTGATTGCTGGCAGAGGCCCTGGTGTGCTGATTGCAGATGTGCTTCAGGTGGGAAAGTCTGGAGCTCAGAAACCACGCCCACCAGCAGCCTCAGGGCAACAGGCAGGCCAGGGTCACGACCGGGGGTTTGTGACAGCTGTGAGTACCACAAACAAAATCCCATTCACCTTCATTGTATTGGGGTGAAGGCAGATATTTTATAACCTGGATAAAAAAACAAATCTAATTGCACAAGAGGTAAGGTAACATGTTTTTGTGTGTTTAATTTGGGTGAACAGAATCTTTAACCCATGCAAACATTCACACAAACAATATTTTATATTAGAGCATTTCAATGTTTGGCTTTGACACGAATACAATACAGTGATGGCAATTATGTAAGAGAAAATACCTTTTATTGGTAAATCATTTGACTCACATTGACCTGGAAGCCATTATTGGCTGCAAGTGACTATTTCTCATTTCTATCGTTTCTTCTGTACGAACATATTGTGTTCTGTTGCAAATGAAGAAGAACAATGTTAGTTTTATATTGCAGCATCATATACCATTTTCATGGGCTTACATTGTTCCATTTGTCATTTTGAGACACCTTGGCGTGGACATAGCTATTGATTATGTGTCAGTTTATTGGTTGAATGGCAAATGCTCAAATCCCACATGGCCTATATTTTAAACAATGATCAAACTGGCATCAGAGCTGTCAAGTTCTATTATCTTTTATGTGAGCTTAATGAAGATCCTCCAGCTAAACAGAATCCAGCATTCTTCCAGGCCATAGTATAAAGATCAGAAAAGAGTTTATAGTAATCTTTAGTATTTTATATAATCCATGTTGAATCAGTCCTGGGTATTGTGAAGAGACTGCAATTTAGTTGAGCCTGCTTTATATATATTTAGGTCACAGGCGTTGGCTTTGACAAGTAAAAACTGATTAAAAACATACTGCATCTTAAGTCAGCTTTTTGATTTTAATTTCCATCGTCCATTTTATTGTGCTGAAGCATATTTTTTGTTTGTATAGCTGATTACTATTTGTAATAGTTTTTAATGATTGTAAAAGCAACCAGCTTGAAGTTTTTTAGATGGTTATATCCAGTTTATGGGCAGTGGTCCCAAAGCTTATAGAAGTGAACTTGTGACCGGGAGGTCGCCGGTAAAATCCTCAGACCGGCAGGAAAATCTGGCTTGGAAAGTAAAACAAACAGTGCTTGCCCTCCCTCATTTACCACTGAGCTGTCCTTGAGCCCATGACCAAAACTGCTTCAGTGGAGCAGCTCAGTGGCCAGCAGACCAGGCTGCGGTTGTACATGGGGAGCTTCCAGGTGTAAATGTGTAACGGTGTGATTGTGATCAGGACCTTTCTGCAAATGAGAGATTGCTCTCAGTGAAGCTGTCCCTGAATAAATAAAAAAAGGATTTAATTTAAAATAAGGTTAAATTTGTGTCATACACATTCATCTCCAGTTGAGGGCAGCAACACTGTTGAATGAGATCTAATCTCCTTTAAATAAAGACACAGAGAAAGAAGTAGAGGATGGACAATAAAGACGTTTTTGTAAAAGAAGAATGCAACCTTCAGGTGCACCTTGTAAGCTGCTTATATAGAGGTGAAGAGGGGTGTGAGCTCAAAGCGTTTGCCACCAACTGTAAAACAGGTTCATTTTCTTTAGACTGACATTGAATTCATTAAATACATTTTTGCTGAATGGACTGTGCAAATGGTTATACTTGGTCAGGGCTGACACATGGAGTTCTAGTGCAGCTGGAATAATACTCACCCCCTTTAATTAAAAGACTGGCAATGAAGGATGCCTGTGTGTTATTGACAGAGATCAAATTTCTCCAGATGTTTTCCATCAGTTGTACAATGTAGGCCTTTTGACGGGTCTTCACTCACTAACACCCACAGATTATTATATATATATTTTTTTAAGTGAATAGCTCTGAGTGGATATTACATACTGAAATGCTTTTCTTGTTTGATACAAGTTTAAGAGACTCAAACTACATATCAATTTCGATTGAGAATAGCCTACTTTAAAACATCAAGAAGAGTTAGAGCACTTAGCTTTGTGAATAATGAAACTTTCCTAACAAAATAAAGAGAGCGTTCCTTGTTTATCTAGGGCTCCGTGACATTACGTATTACTAGCACAAATCCTGCAACGTCCAATCTCCCCTGAACCCTAAAAGGCTCAATCCACACTACTGCATTTTCGAATTAAAACGGAGACCTTTTGCTACGTTTGCACCTGCCGTCCAGACTACAACGGCGAAAAACGAAGACCTAAAACAAACGCTGCCGACCCCGCTTTGCGTTTCACTCCCGTGTTACATTCAGTAACAGTCCCTGCTCGTTATTGACTCATGCAACAAAAACAAAAAAAATGGTCTGATGCTTAGTCTGAATTTATTTATTCTTTCGCCAAATCTTCTGTAACTACGGAATAGACTATCTGCTTCATGTTTACACTGGTGGGCGCATGCCCAGTGCACCTGAACGGGTCCCAGCTGTGCGTTTTCAGTTTTAATGTAGACGGAGATCAACTCCAAAACGCAGCGGAAACGCTGGTGTGGACGGAGATCGTATTCGTTTTAATTCTCCATTTGTAAACTAAAACGGAGTAGTGTGGATGGGGCCTGAGAATCTTGCCCCTGTACTCCAGCCCTGTCCATTGCTTTCACCTCCTTGATCCTCTTCGCCTTAACAATATCATATGCAAAGTGCCTCCTAGCACGATTAAGTGTATTTGGAAGGGAAGTGATTAAAGCTTCATGGCACATATCTGAAAACACACTCACACAACTCTCATATTATAGTAAAGTAATAATAATGCATATATATATATTTGCATATTAATTGGTCTGCGCCCTTCAAATTCCAAAATAAAGAATCCGAAAGGGGAGTATTTATTTAAAATTAAAAATGAAACGATAAAAAAAAAAAATACCAATCACAAACAGCTGCCCCCCACCCCTGTTCCTTTTTGTGGGGCAAGTTTGGAGGGGGTGGGGGAAAGTAGATGAGAAGAATGGTGGGACGCAAACCGCTCACCAATTATACAGTGGTAGGATCCCATCTACGGTCGGTCTCCACAAACGTGCCTTGAATTGCTATATTCCCGACGGTCCCTGAAGGCAACTGCAGAGGAGGAAGGAAACCTGGCAACGCTGTCACAAAGCTAACGTTATCCGTGTAATGCTAAGGCATCTGAACGCATCAGCTTTGTCAACATGCACTTAAGTGTTGACCGAGGCGGTTTACCATTTGATCTTTACTTCGTGGCGTCCTCAAAAGCGTGTTAACAAAATTTACAATGGCATTTTCTAACGAGCCAAGCTAGCCTAACCGGCAGACGGTTCTCTTCGTCGTAGTCACAATCAATCGACCAGCTAACCAGAACGAGTTGTTGTTAGCTTAAGCTGGCTCGGTGAATATGGCGATTGTGTCTGGTTCATGTGCTAGGGTGAACGGGTCTAGAAATGGGCCGTCTGTGTCCGCAACACCTTCTGGATCCGTCGGACAATCGCAGCCCATGATAGCGGTGTGGGAATGGCAGGATGACCTGGGATATTGGCGGCCTTACAGCGGCCAAGTGAGCGCCTACATCGAGCGGTGCCTGGCACCGCGGGGCCAGAGAGGAGGAGGACCCGGCTCAACGAGCATCTGCCTCGGACAATCAGACCCCAGCCTGTCGCCTTATCTCATTGACATACCGAGCTTGAAACAGTTTCGACAGGACACAGGTGAGTCTATGTCAAACTGTACTCATACTTCCACCTTGACGGAGTGTTTTTATTTCGTGATTAATTTAATCATTGTGCCTCGAAACCTTACAGTTATCAGGCCAGGCTAACAAGCAACGCTAGCCGCTTAGCTGTAGCTTACAGGGGCGCCGTTGTTTTGATGAGTGTTTACATTGCTGCAAGCTAAGATTAGCCAAGTTACCCGGGATGAAGTTTCGATAGACCACTATGTTGAATTGTTTTGTGTAAAGTAAGCTAACTTGTCCACATAACCTTGCTATAACTCGTCACATTGTTGACGCTTGTAACATTAGCATATCATTTATCTTCTCTGAGCTCAGCTGGTTTCATGTTAACTAGTTTGAATGAGGGGCAACAGAGCTTGTAAATTAACAAATGACAAGCAGTGTAGATGTTAGAAGTGGCAGTGCTCTTCCAGACTGTCAATAAAATGCTTTTCTATAACTATAAAGCAGCAGTATTAGTCAAAGAAATTTTACTTGCTGCCTTGAGGAATTAAGCAGCTGCACTTTTTATTTTTATTTTTTTTTACATATAAAGGTTTAATACAGTAGCTTTAAAAGTTTAAATCATCTTTTTTTAAATCAATCAATCTTTATTTTCAGGAAAGACACGGTCAGTACGGCGGTCCCTGTTTGCCCAGTCCTCAGGCCTCGGCAGTGGGGTTTACTGGGAATGGGCCAACGATGAAGGAGGGTGGACTCCATATGAGACTCGAACATCTATCCTTTTGGAGCACAGCTACCAGGCCCGCCAAGGCACGGCAGACTTGGGCCCGCATGGATACAATTACATAGTGGATCTCACATCTCTGGCCCAAGTTAATAAATCTTCAGGCTTCAGACGGCAAGTCAGACGGCAGTGTAACCTCCCATACCCACTGGCTTCCTCTGGCCCCCCAGCCATTCCCTCGGGCCCTGCCTGCTCCTGCCAGCAGTGTCTGAACCACAGCAGCACAGGACCCATGCCCAGCCGTTCACGGCATTCCTTCTCATCAGGCAGTCTGAACCGGCCCAGCCTCCAAGGGACAGGAAGGGCTGTGGCTGCTCACCCCACTTCTGTCTACTCGCCGTACCCTAGGAGACCCCTCTCTGTAGGGGGCATGTCCTGGGGCAGCCCCTGGCCTCCACCTCCCTCTGGTAGTCAACTGTCTGCACCGCTTCTGACCAGCTCTGCCAGTGCCAATGGGTTAAGGTTGGTGTCTTATAATTTGCTGGATTGTGATTTGGTTTTACAGACCTGTCAGAGGAAAACAACAGCAGTAAGGGGTTCAGCTGTGCTGGTATCAATTTCATGGGACCCTCTCCACCCTTCCCTCCCCCGTTGTCTTTCCTGTCTGTCTGCACTTTGACCTATCCTGAAAAACAGGAATGATCTGTAGCTCCAGCCCAGCCTATGTTTGTTTTGGCTCAGTTGCTGTGACTCTTCTCTGTCTCATCTCCAGCCTTCCTCCTTTTCTGTTTGTGACGGCATAGAAAACTGCTTTTTAAAGACAAATTGCTTACTTAAATGTTATAATGAATATGCAGTTCACTTACACTTTTCCTGGGCTTCAATTTTCTTCCACATTAAGTTTCATTTAGTGTTTTCCCAGCCACTGGAAGTTAATAATAGGACACTAACGCAGGATATTTTCCACCTAGCAAACACTGTGGTTTGTGTTATCCTCTTGATTTTTGCCATCATTGCTTACACGACTCAGTGATTACTAATATACACGCACAAAAATGTCCAATAAAAGGTTAGCTAATGTTAAAAGGGCTTCATTATATCAGTGACACATTTCCTCTTATTGTGTTACCATGTCCTCTTATTTTGCTGATAAATGAGGGTAAAACACACAGCGATTTTTAGCTTATTTTAATCTTATTTCACATGTCTGCATTTTTTTTTTCAATCGCTTTACTTTTTGTGAGTTGTGCTGGTGGTTAGAGCATAGGATTCTCTGACTACAAAAAAAATAAGAAACAGAATTAGTGCAAAAATACTTGGTTTATGAGTTTATCTGTCGACTGAAGAAAATGTAAATAGTTATTTTGATAACTGACTTAACATTTAAGTCTTTTATTAAAAAGAAAATGCCAAACACTTGCTGGCTTTTGGAATCTTCTAAATTGTAAGGATTTATTGCTTTTCTCAAATTTTCGTTGGACTATTTGGCATTTATAGACTGAACTGTTAAAAAAAACAAATGGACTGTTTAACAGGTAATGGAAGTAATCATTAGTTGCAGCCCTGAACTGGATTTAGTTTAAAGCTCCAATTGCTAATTTCTTTTCCTTGAAGGCTGCACGATTGCATGCATATTTAACAGTATATTGGGTGTTGCACTATAAACAGTCAATGATAAATTGTTGTTGTTTATCAATCTCAGAAACTGCCAGTCATTTACTACCCAGTCTGAAGATGGTCAGTCTTTTCAGCTACTAGTAAATGTAAATAAACATTGGCAGTTAATTCCCAAGCAGGTTTTATTTTGTTGTCTTGATCTGGTGCCAGAGCTATTCCTAATGCAGATGATCAGAAACTGAAATCTTTTTAAGTCTTTGTTTTGTTCTGCCTGCTTGTTTCATTGTTGCTGACTGAATGTCACTGTCCTTGTTTCCTGTCCTGCAGTGTTCCTTCCATCTCTGTGCCGCTGAATGGGTCCACCAGTGTAAGCTCAGCCCTGGCAGGTAAACGGGTCACTAAACATCCATCCTGACTGACCTCTGCTCAGTCTATTCTGCACCACACTATTGAGTTGGTTTCCGGTTTCATTCAGTATAATGTTTGGGGTTTATGTGCCTTTTTTCTGTTGTTGCATTTGTCTTGTGAGTGTCAGTCTGTTTAGGAGCAGCATGCCACAAAAAGGGGTTAAAAATAGAAAAGAACACCCCCCCCCCCCCCCACGTAAAGCAATGATGTCCCTTTTTATTGTTCAGAGAGAGGCTTCCTTCAGTGAGAAACAAAAGTGATATTGTCCTGTTTGTTGCAACACAGTGTTTTATTGAGAGCCTACACAAGTTTCCACATGCTTTACTAAACATTCAGCTCTGGGTGCAGAAGCATGATTCACTTCAGTTTTCAGTCTTGGTCCTGGAAGCAAGCTCCACCTGACACTGGTTTTTGTATGATGGCTCAAGGCTAAACAACATAATAGAGATAACTACTACTACTATGAACGAATACCGTATACCCCTCCATAAGTTGATTTATTTAGATGATTTGCATTTCTGACAAATCATTAGAATATATATTAAAATATATCAGTGATGTTACTAAGTTTCTTATATAATGACACAAGGTTCTTGGCACCAACAGCAGCTCTTGTCGCTGTGATTTATAGAAGGCTGAATGGGTTGCATGTGACTTTATTGTGTGAAAAATGTTTTCCTTGTATTCACATTTATTTAAAGAGCACAGTCAAGTTAGGCACAGAGAGGCTGACCCCTCACACAGAAAACTAAGATGTTAACGAAATCAGAATTTGATTTCCAAATTTGCTGTCGAATGTTCCCAAGATACTTGACAAATGGATCAATATGTGTATTTAGGCATTTTCCTCTCATCACACTTTTTTTTGCATGTTCCCTGTGCCGCTTTCTATCCTCACCCATGCTTGCTTGTAGCATCATGGAGATTCTTGCTCTCCCAGCTCCTCTTCCATAGATATTTGGATTCTTCTCAAAAGGGGAAACAAACATTCAGCTTTACAATTTTACTCAACATTCAAGCATTTTTAATGATAAATTATGACCAACTTTTTCCCCCCGATGTATTTTATTTTGAAATTTGTCCACTGCAGTGGGTCCAGATAACCATATGTTTTCAAAACCTTTACGAAGAGCAAGTACTCATAAAGCTATTCAAGTACAAAATTATATCATAATTTTAAATAAAACATACAAAATAAGGAGGAATCTACAGAGGCAGAATATACCCTTTGTATTTTCACAGAGCAAAATGTACAAGAAAAATATAATTAAAAGCTGGATAAAAGTATTTCTTTTATAATTTCTTTTTATCTGGAGAATAAAAGGATTTAACTTTTATTCTTGAAGTGCTCGGTGCATCTCCTTATCCCTCCACTAATTTGAATTTATGATGCAATATCTCAATTTGACAACGCTCTGGGGGGTCCGCACATAGTGGTTAGGACATGGTACTATAATTTGAATTATTCAAAATTGTTTCCAAATATCTGTCCTCTGTAGTGGACATGTCACGTGCATTAAAGGGTTAAAAATCTGAAGATTGTGCCTCAACTGTCATAGAAACGTTTTATAATGCATTGCCTTCATTGCGCCCAGCTCACTAGAGTCAACATAAGGCAAAACCAGTTCTATACTGTCCGTATTTAAATATGAGTCAATCATGGTAATACCATTGATTGAATTAGAGAATTTTACGCATGCAGTTTAATTTCCACCCTTTAATGACACCTGGTCACGTATTTAATGCTTTGATTTTCCCTGATATTGTGTAAATTTGAGTTTAGGCTCTAAATATCAGTATGTAACAGCTACAGCCTGCAAGCAGCTGGCTGACTTATAGCAGGCAGACAAGTTTTAATTTGTCATAAAATGGCAAAATTGACATGCAAAGGGAATGCTCACTATTTTTTATTATTTTTTTTCCTCTGCGGCACACTTCTTAATTTATAACTCCATTTCTTGGCTGTGATAAGCTGACTGAATCAATACAATCAGCACAGAGAAAGCTAGAGGACCAGAACCTCATTAGTTCAAAGCACCGTACCGTGACTTTGGTGAGTCATGTGGTGTCTTCTCCAAATGTACAGTTTTAATGTTTATTAGTCAGTAATGAACATTAGTGGAAATGGGGTCTATTTCTTACACACTTTGTTTATTTGTCAGTTTTAAATATATACAATACATACATAGATGCCTCCATTACTGTTGGAGGTAGAAATTAAAAATCAGCTTAGTCATTAATGTCCGTTACACTTGCTTTCTATTTGTGTGTTATTGGCTAATCTAAGCCACCATAAGTTACTGGTCAGACCGGATCAAGTAATGCTGCTGCAGCAGAAACCCTGAGTTTATTGAATTGAGTGTATTTTATTGCTTTTAATTTGTAAATTAGTATTTTTTTTGGAGGTACATAGTGTTGCTTTAGATGATCATGCTTAGATCTGCAACGCCTATTCTGCATTGCCACAAGGATAGTGGTTGTAAACCATTCCTCATAGTTTGCTGATTGATTAGTCTGACTGCCAGCGTCTGGGCACCATCAACTTTCCAGATTTCCAAGATAACTTGTAGTTTTCACTTAGCTCAAGAGATTAATGCTAGCTTCACAACAGAAGTCCTGATTGCAAAAACGGCTTTACTCATTAATCAAAAAGAAGAGACGGAAGAACAGCATATCAACTGAGGCCATATGTTAAACATAATCAGTTGGGTTTTAATTTCAAGGTACTTGATGCTGTGTCTGACTCCAAGTGTGTGGGTGTAGGGTGGGGGGGCACAGTGGAAACATCAGTTGCTGCTACATTTCTCATACCTTCGATTTGTTCCTTTCTATTCCTGCATATCTCCACTTGCTTTCAACCCTCACCTACCCCACTCTGCCCCGCCCCGCCCCAACCCGCCTCAACCCACCCCAACCCACCCTACCCCGCTCCAGGCATGGCCTCCATTTTGATGTCAGCAGTGGGACTCGGCGTGCACTTCACCACTGCCCCCCTCCCTCAGCAGCAGCAGCAGCCACAGCAGCATCCACAGCAGCAGCCACAGCAGCAGCAGCAGCCTGCTCCTTTCTCTCTTCCTCCTCCTGTCCTCCCCCCAGCCAGCAGACCCAGCAAGCCCCACAGCAGCAGCAGCAGCAGCAGCAGCAGCAGTTCAGTTAGGAGAGCAAAGAGGCAGCACAGGAGAGGTAGCTACCACGCCACTAGCCCTTCCTCCACCTCTTTTTCTTCTTTTGGTCCAGTTATCACCGCAGGCTTGAGGAACATTTCATCCTGCATCAACTCACTTTCATTTGTCTTCATGTGTTTATAGGGTGCGTTAGTTGAAAAAAAAGTGCTGCTGCAACTGATTTTTGTGCAACTGTCAAATGAGTCTGGTCAGTGTGCTCTAAACTGACATTTTAAAAGCAGACTACCTTTTGGGTTGTGTGATTCCGCTATCACTGACCTCTCTGCTGCAAACCCCACCAGTTTCATTCCAGTTGTTGTTGGTATCAGCTGCTTACCTACCATGAAATCTTGCATCATCTTGGTTAATTTTCAATTCTCAAAGATGTAATGTGCAGCACTTTGTTCTTTTTTTTTTTTTACATAACCTTCTCCCTTCTCCCTGACCATCTGAACAGAGAAAAGGTGCTGGGAGTCTGGAAAAATGTAGGATAGTGCAAACACTGCCTTAAGCTGTGTAAATCTAGCATGAGAATATAGAACGAAGCTTCCAGCGATTTTCAAATCTAACCACATGTCTGTGTACAGATGGGTAACAAACAGTAGGAAAATCCTGATTAAACGAGTGGAGAAACAAACTCAAACACAGATGCTTCCATACAGGATGCGATGGCTCACTGAGTGGTTTGATGAGTTTGAAAATGATACACCGTGTGGCCTTCACAGTTAACCAAACATCAGAGATTTTCTCTGCTGCCATAATCTAAGCACCAATTAAGTGAAAATCTCGCCAAGGAGCACTGAAAGTGTTCTGGAGGCATTTACATTACATTTATTCATTTAGCTGACTCACAATTGCTATGTATGTCAGAGATTGCATGCCTCTGGAGCAACTAGGAGTTAAGTTTCTTGCTCAGGATGGATGTCATTGTGGGGAATTGAACCTGGGTCTATCACACCAAAGGCACGTGTCTTATCCACTGCCCCATCACTACCGAAGGCTCAGGGTAGAACAACACCTCACTAAGAGACTTTATGTTGGGTTTGACTCTGATTTGTCACCCATCTGTGTAGTAACAAAACTTCGTCAGCTCATTAGCTTTCTACTTTTGGGACAGAAGACTTCATTGTGTCGAGCCTCAGGAGCCTCTGCTGCAGTATGGAGGATTAGGCTATGAATTGCTTAGTCAGTTGACTGAAAGTAATTGGCAGCTACTTTGATAATTGTGCCAAATCCTTTGATGGTTTTTAACTTCTCAAATGGGAGAATAATAAATAATTGTTAGTTGCAGCACTACTGCAGAACAGTAAGCAGCTCGCCAGCTTAAATCAACCTTTGGACATATTGTAAGAGGTATTCACTGTCATACTGGGTTATATCAAAGGGAGTTGGCTCATAGATAAGTTGATAATGTAGGCCAGCAATAATAAAAACATGTACATTGTCATGACAGTAAATTACTCTTCCTCCATTCTTGATTGTCTGCCACTTTTAACTTGAATACCTGCACTTGAAATCAACAAGGGGACACGTCAAACATAAGGACGTCTGGAAATGAAAAAATCTGGACTTTAATGGAGCAGTCTTGTGTGATAAACTCAAGAAGACAGTTGAAGATGAACGTGTAGTTCGCTTTCAGAATTTTGTTTCCTAAACAGACTTGACACTCACGTGTGTGTATGAGAATATGGTGGTGATATGCAGTGTCTGGATCAATTCCTTATGCTGCCAATCACGGTCGTACACACGAACACTCCCTGTGTCATGCATTCAGATTGTCTCTGTGGCTTAAATGTGTTCTGTGTCCTGTGCATTTCAGGATGTTTGATTAGCAGCAGCCTGGACTCTTTGTATGTCGCAGAGGCAGAAAGAGTAGAAATCCAAAGCTTGGATGACTAATGGTTGACTGAAATTCTAAAATGAGATTGTGGATTACTTTGTATTGTGAAGAAAATCATTTCATCTCCTCTCACCAGAGTCTCATCTTTTTGTTGGACTCGCTGTTTTAGTCTCTGGCCTGTTTCAGCTCATTCATCACTTTTGTTTTCTCTTTTAGCCTCAGCTCAGAGACCTGACGAGGTGATTCAGCGCTACATGGAGGTAGTGGCTGGAGTCCCGGATGAGGTAAATGTTTCATTGTCAGCCCCCCCCCCTTTCCAGACATCACAGGCATTAAAAAAACTTTTTTTCAAAGTTTTTATTTATGGTCTTTTGAACCAGCAAAATCTTTTTTTTTAAGGGTTGACTGTGAACTGACAGTGGTGCATGTAATGTGTAACACAGACAGAGAAACTGAATAAAGGGCTGAATGCTGTTGCTGGCCTTTAACTGGGGAAAAATGTCAAGTTCTTATTCAGTAGTTTTGACACTAAACACATCCCCTGGGTTCCCCTCAGGACTGCATTATCTGCATGGATCAACTGTCCAATCCATCCGGCTATGAGACAACGTCCACAGAGGAGGGAGGCCAGAGCATCCTGCCAGACACTGTGGGGAAATTCATCAAATGTGGACACACCCTGCATATGCTCTGCATGCTGGCCATGTACAACAATGGAACAAAGGTACAGAACTGTTGCAGACTGCAAAGCAACTATTTTTTTATTATGTGGACAAATTCACAAAGTCACAATGTGACACAATGCTGTCTTAAGTACAGATTGATCCTAAAAGTCTGCCTTGAAGTACTGTGAACATTTGACAAAAGTTAAAAAGAAATGATATTTAAAGTGATGGAGTGATAGTTTTAAAGGAATAGTTCGACCTTTTGGTGAAATGTGCTTATTCGCTTTTTTGCCCCGTTAAGGCTGATTTATACTCCTGTGTTGAGTCTTCACTGTCTTGAGCATTTATACTTGTGCGTTGGTGTCTGCATCGCTCTGCAATTCCACATCCAAAATTCTAGTTAGAAGTATAAATTAGCCTTTAAATGAAAAGATCGATATCAATCTCACATCAGTGCGTTTCTAGCACGTAACTCTCGGTACATTGCACCTTTTAAATGGAGCAAACTGAAAACTGCCCCCTAGCTAGAATCATGTTTTTTTTTTTTTTTTTTAACCAAGTCGATTGCAGTTGTCTGGCCTTATTTGTGTCTTCTTTGTACGCTGGTTGTGTGGTTGTCTGATTATGCAGATTATGCTCTTGGAAAAAGAGAACTGAATCTGGAAAGACACTACCTGATTAAATAAAGTTTAATTTAAACTAACTCTTGGCAAGAAAGCAAATAAGCCTACTACCCTAAACTTTGGACTAAAGTTTCATGCCTCTCTGAAAGTGGATTTTTATATGCCACACTGAAATCAGTCTGGCATGTACGATACTTTTGTGCTGTTGTGCTTTGAAAAATGCTTAATAATAATGTATTTGCAGTAAATGAGCCAAAATAAGTGCTCATGTGTGGCTCTCTTCCTGCCCTATGTTCTGATGTTGCGTTTTATTGTGGATATTTACCATATGCTGTATATACAAACATCAATGAAGCACTGGTTGATGGGACCAGAGGTAAAGACTTGTTGATGGAGGCAAACACAAAAGTCTCATCAGTGGATCGACGAATATTTGATCAGCAGTTACCTGGTTTGTATTGATCGTTCCAGTTTAAAAGGCTCTCTGGCTGTGTTTTCTCCTCAGGACGGCAGTCTGCAGTGCCCCTCATGTAAGACGATCTACGGAGAAAAGACCGGCACCCAGCCCAAAGGCAAGATGGAAATCTACAGCATCGCCCAGTCGCTGCCAGGCCACCCAGAATGTGGCACCATCCAGATCATCTACAGCATACCACCTGGCATACAGGTACGTCTGTATACTGAGGTACCACAGTGGCAAGTATGTAAAGTATAAAACTGAAAATACAGCCTAAGCCAGGGGTCTCAAATACTGGCCCAGTGTAGGCCGATCTACGACATGTTTAGAATTTATTAAATTCAGCCCACTTTTTTTTTAAAAATTTTTTTTATTACTTTAATTTAGATTTTTCTCCATTCTTTTAGTTTAAAGTAATAACAAGTGCTGGAATTTCAGCTTGCAGCAAAAAAAAGACGCAACAAAGCTCATCTGTAAGTGAAACAGAATTTTCATAAAAAGGAAAAAGATTCATTAAAATAACCAGTGTTACTGAATGTCAGGATGAGGAATTCAGTGAGTTTGACTGAAGTGTGAGTGAGCATGTGACAATAGATAGACAAGCTACATAAATGTGGATTTACATGATGCATTTATAGAAATATTTCTTTTGACTAATAGTACCTCTGGGAAACTTTCCCAGCATGATTAGTCTGAAAGTTTAATAAGAAAGTTTTATTTATTTTTTGGGGAAAAGTTAACAGATTGATGTTGAGACTCTGTGGAGGAGCATTCTCCTCTCTATCTTTGTGCGTGGTTCACAGTAACACCCTTCTTTTGTTACAGTCTATTGGGAAAACCTTAATTTCTTTGTGTCCTGCTGCAACCGTGAGTGCAGATAAATTGCAGGAAAGAGCCGCATGTATCTAAAGTTACAAGAACTTGAATCAGATTTGTATTGAGCTGCTCGTCTACTGATGATCTCCAAAACACCGTTATTAGATTATATTTTGTTTGTTCTGACTGATCTGTATTATTAAACTTTAAACGTGTCCATTCATCAGTCAGTTTTTGTGCTCCTCCAACAGGGCCCGGAGCATCCTAACCCAGGACAGCCGTACAGCTGTAGAGGCTTCCCTCGCTTCTGTTTTCTACCAGACAGCGACAAGGGCAGGAAGGTAAAAAAAAAAAAAAGGGACTGACTCTACACTTCAGATGCTTGTATGCAGCGGAAACAGATCTCAGATACGTACAGAGATTACTATGATTCCTCTGGTGTCTGTGTCTACTTGCATAAAACCACAGTGCTCCCCTATAGCTCATTCAGGCCCACACAAAGAATATGAAATTCTGCATTTTATTAATCGCTGCAGGTGATTATATTAGATATTATATAGCAGGGGGTATTCAGGTCTTAGCATTTCATTAAGTGTATGGCACAGCACTGAGGTTATCAGCATATATGTCCTACCACTCGTAAAAACAATAAAGAAATTCAGTCATTACCAGAGGACCGGAGTGGAGCTGTAGGGGCCAACCTGGCACATCAGGTTCATACAACTCAATGCCATTAACACAAGACTCTGCATAATGCTCCATCAGGATTGCAGTGTTTCAGTGTGATTAAATTAAGAACATTTTGTGCTCATTATAAAGTTGTGTTGTTTCCATGGTGAATTAATAGCTCATTTCCTGCTTGCTGGCAACTGCATCTGCACACTTTAGCTTCTATAAATAATCTCTGATGTAATTCACTAATGGAAAATTGGATTAAATGATTCCAGTTGTAGTTTATCTGTGCCTCAGACTCATTTTCATCTTCAGAGTCCCAGTGGTGTGATGTTCCCCGCAGAACATGGATTTGAGATGATGAAAATGTCCCAGCTGGGATGCACAGCCTGTCCCACAGTGCAATAAACAGCCGGAGCCTGTTAGAGTGGCTAAAATCCGAACAGCGTTTAGGAAACACTGTTCTTCTTCCATCAGTTAGGCAGCCTATCTGTTCTGATTATCTCAAGTTACATAATGCTATTATAGCTAAATTGTTTGTTTCTAGACTGAGCAACAGAGTCAGCGTACCTGGCTGAGTAGTTAAATTGTTTCACCAGTAAAGCTGGCTTCTTCAGGGTTTCTTAGATGACATTTTAGAGGCCATGTTCAGTCAACTATTAATCCATTTAGCTGGGTAAACCACCTCCCAGCAAAGCCAAAACATATTTATGTTACCTGTGTCATGATATTGTAAAAGAGGTATGTAGCTGATCATGTGAATACGAAGCACAAGGGCTGCATCTAAAAGTTACTTTCATTGTCAAAACTAATCTCCCCTTCTGCGTGTCGTCTTCAGTGAAAAGGAGCCCTATGGACATAAAGAAGTTTGAACCACTTGATGTTAAATTGCATATTAGGGCTGCAGCTAGTGATTATTCTCTCGATAAGTTGAATCTTGTCTATAAAATGTCAAAATATAGTCCCTATTTTCCAGAGCCCACGCTGTAATGTCTTCAAATAGCACTCAGATATTCAGTTTAGTCTTATAAGAACAAGAAAAGCATTAAAAAAAAAAAAAAAAAAGCTGTCACCAGAGAATGTTTAGCATTTTTGCTTGAAAAAAGGACTTAAAGGTGGAGTAAGCGATTCTGGAGAAATCCAACATCATGACAAATACCATGATATTGAGCACAACACACACAGCAAGTAATATAATTAATGTTTGCTAAGTTGGTGGTCAGCATGCTGTTTTCACAGTTGCTGCTGTTAAGCTAACATGCAGGGTGGATTAGACTTTGCCAGAGCCAGCTCAGCAGCTCCAGACAGTGATACTCACAACTCTCCTGCTGCTATAGCAAACATCACAACAACAGAATGTGTTGGCAAACTAGAAAGTAAGCTGAATGTGCCTGGGCAAGTCATTTAACATTACCTGACCCAAATATCATGGCTGGATAGGCTGGCTTAGTGTTGTGTGGCGGGATGCGGGCAATTAATAGAGCCAGGGCTGTATACAAACACCAGATGTTTCCCTAATGTTTGCTCCTTGTCTCTCTGAATAGGTGCTGGAGCTGCTGAAGGTGGCGTGGATGCGACGCCTCATCTTCACCGTGGGAACGTCCAGCACCACGGGAGAGCCCGACACGGTGGTGTGGAACGGCATCCACCACAAAACAGAGATGATGTCCAACTTATCGGGCCACGGCTACCCCGACCCCAACTATTTGGACAATGTTCTGTCTGAGCTGGCCTCTCAGGGCGTGACCGAGGACTGCCTCAAACCTCCCAGCAGCAGCAGCAGCAGCAGCAGCAGCTAGGTCACAGCTCCGAGCTTCACACACTTCCTCTCACTGCTGACCACTGAGTTAACCCTTAAAAATCCACCTCTTGCCAGGTGGACACCCCTGCAACTTCTGTGTTGTTATTAAGTTAATGTCAGCATCTGCCCAGATCTCATTGAGTGAGCAAAGGAGGAGAAGTGTCCTGAAGCTTCTCTGGAAGAAGAAGTGGAGTGCTTGCTGAGAGTAGTTGCTCCAATACATTCCCTCTCATCACCATATTCCAGGGACTCCTATTACTCTTTCTCAGACTGGAGATTGTGCTTTGGTTTTGTTATGTGTTATTTTTTTTCTTCTATCAAGAGCCTCATCTGTATCCCCTTGTCCAGTTGCCAGAATGGCAGCTTACATCCGGGATAAAAATCTTCATAAATCATAAAGCACTTTAGTTCTGACGGTATATTTAGCTGACAAGATGTGTGATTTCCTGGTAAAAGGGCAGTTAACTTGTTTTCAAATTGGGAAGTTATGCAATTAAGGTGTTTCCGCTGAAAACCCGTGTGTTTAGCACAAGGACACTGACACATCTAGTAGCAAAGTGAGTATATATTAGCCTATTTGATGAGAAGAGGCAATACTTAACTGATGTAAATAAAAAATAACAACATGAATGAAACGAGATATTGTAAAAAAGAAAAAAAGAACAGGTTCTGTCCACAAGTGACAGTCGAGGAGAATAAAGTTGTGTATTAACATTTAACTCTACTTCTAATTTGATCATGTGTTATATTTTATTGCCTAACCTAATTTGAAAAGCAGATATGTAATGCACTCACATGTGATGATTTTTCATGTTGTAAATTTGCAGTATGTATGTCCACGGGCATTCGGCAGGCATCGTTTTTGTCACTTAATATGTTATAGTTTGTGTTGCCATGTATGTGAGAAGGGACAGGGTTACATCAGCTATAGCTTAACGACCTCAATCCTTTTGTCCAAACAGATGGGAAGGACCGCTGAGAGAAAAAAAAAAAAAGAAGCTTAAGGTTAAGAACATTTTACAGTGTGACAATCAAGGTCATCGAACTCGTCTTGATTAAACAAGACACATGAGGCCGCAGCAGGCATGTTAATGTTCCCGCGGGCCACAAACTCACTTTCTGTATTCACATGCATCATTCTGCTCACAACACTGCAGTACAGTTGGTGAACTGAGTCTTGACATGTATACAAGTAAAACTGAAAAAAAGTCTGCAATAAAGGAAAAAAAGGCAAAATGAATCCTGACTCGATCTAACTTTATAAAGCTTTTTATTATTATTCTTATTAGCTTGTAAGAGTTTTCTTTATGTAGAAAGGTGTTGGCAATTGGTGAAGGTGCTCATCTACTTTCAGCAATTCTGCAGTGATCCGCTGATCAGGATCACGAAAAAGTGTGTGAATTCATTCCTCATGTGGAGCTTATGATCCTTGAATATGGAGGAGGATATTGTTGTGTTTAAACCCCAAGGTGCTCCTGGTCCTCTTAAATGGCCTCACATTACTTGGGTGTTGTATGACCATTCAGAGTGATCATCAGAGCTAATGGCTCGCAGTAGATGGCTGCCTGTAGCATTATAGATTAACCATCATCTTGTTGAGAGGCACCTAATCGTGTCCTGACCTCCAGAGAATCTGCAATAACACAGTAGATTAAACAAGGAAAGGGAATGTTTTAGGACAAAACTCTGAGTGTGCTTGCTTAAGCTGAAAGCTAGTGCATGGCTGGAAGCAATGATAAAGTTTGTAGCCTACAGACATTGCACATAAAAATGATGACAAAGTTTAATATCTTAAAAATATAACACTACACTAAAATGGTAGATCATCATGTAAAAGCTCAGTATATGTATGTGGTATTTGTCATTTGCAAGCTGTTGCAGTACACAATAAGCATACAAGATGTTCAATATAAACTATATAAATAATTCTCCATAACATAAGTATTCTTAGTAACAATCAAAGTTGAGGAAAAACATTCTTATTTATTAAATGTTTCACACTATTCAGGACTGTGTGGGTGTGATTCAGATATTGCTAAATCCTGATTGGTGCACAAAAGTAGGTGACATACATTTTTCTTCAAACCAGTGAGAAGAGGGCAGTAAAAAAAAACACAAATACTGTAATCTCTTTTGTGAAATAACTAAAACCCATCTATCTTTGGCAAGAGTACTGCATTATCATGTAGGACCCCATGACTTATCGTAAGAAGCTGACTGTGTTTTTAAGACCTTTAATGTGTAGCGGGGTAAATAGTGTTTATGTATGCTTTCAGTGCCACTTGATGATTTCTCGGCCGTTTAGCTGGTGACGGGGCTTGAACCCAGCTCTTCCTGCTGAATAGATGTGTGTGTGACCACTCAAACATTTATTTGTAGTGCCACTTGTGTTTATGCTTTCAGTGCCACTTGGTGACTTCTCTGCCATTTAGCTGGCTTGAACCCAGCTCTTCCTGCTGAACAGATGTGTGTGTAACCACTCAAATATTTATTTGTAGTAGAAATGTTATGAGAAGAACACGACCATTTGGAAGGGAATTTAACTTTATCTTTGTAATAATGGACTCTTTAAGTGCACAGCAGTGCTTTGGGTTCAAGATAGAGTAGAGTAAAAGCTAGGGATGATGAGGGGGAAACACAGACTAAAGGCTGGGCAATCTAGGATGGACACCAGACATGAAAAACTTCTCTGACGTCAGTGAGGACACAGTATTTTGGTTTGGTCTGACTGAATGTGGCTAAAAAGACACAAATTGTTGTTTCCTGGGAGTGCAACAGTCACTCCGTTGCCAAGTACACCTCACTAAAACTAATGCAGTCTACAATCTCTGCAACATTCATGATAAAAACTGAACATTATGACCTTCGTGAAGGTGGGATTTATTGCAGGCTGATATTGACTGTATTAGAATACGTTAGTTTTAGCTAGGTGTACCTAATGAACTGGAATATTTGTTGTATAAGTTTCCAATAACAAAAAATAATGAATAATAGTAATAGTCTAACATTTTTCTTTACAATACTTATAATTCTAGGACTAGAAAGTTTCAAACAGGAATGATGCTGTTTATTTATTTCCCCATGTTCTAGATTTTAACTTGTGAGGAGGTTAGTTAACTTTATCCCTGGGATGGACAGCTGGGCTCTGTTACTGATGGTATACTCCTTGAAACATCCACCTCCCTTCATTCTTTGCCATTTTATCTGTGAAGTTAGCCTATATGAATGTCTTCATATCAAGAGAGACATGCTCATAGGGCCCTGGGAACACAGATGATCCCTTTTCAGCCAACTCATTGAGCTACTGTTAGCTTAATTAGTTAGGGAACTAACTACACATGATACAATGTGTTATTTCAGCTGGAAAAATATCAGTCAATGAGATGCCTTCTTTTCTCTACCGCTGTCTGAAACCATTTCATAATAAAGTATGAAGAATTCTGAGTAGCAAAGCTGTTAGCTGCTATCTTAGTAAAGTGCTTCATGTGCCAAGCTAGACAGGCGTGGCAACAGTAACTTTAGCTAAAGGCCATCATTGCAAAGCTCTTTTCAGAAAAGTTCAAGGGAAATTATTGCAAAAAACCCCCCACTTTTAAGTGTTTAAATACATAAACAGAGTAGAAATATTATAAAAAAAAAACAGGAATTATAGAAAAAGTGATAAACATCTTTAAAAGAGCAAGAATTTGTGTGGCATTGATTAAATTAGTTCTGTTTATATATTATTATATATTTTTTCTGTTCTTTCAATGTAATTAGTAAAAAAAAACAACTAAAACATAAAGCGACTTAATTTCTTTGTTACAGCACTTATTCTACATATTTATCTAAAACCCAATAAAAAAAATCTATCCGACATTTGCTGTGAAAAATTGTGTGCTAACTTCCAGAGCCATTTCTTGACTGACCTAGGAAAGATTAGCCTGCTTACATTGGATTTTGCACCGAGCGTTATCATTTTATAACTGACTTGACTCTTTGATTTAACAGTCACAAACTGTGTGGTGTTGGTTTTTAGATCAGACATCCAACATGACTTCAAGAATAAACTCCAACAAAATGAAAGTGCAAGGCAACACATTTTATTTCAAAGGCCTAATTGGCGTTAAGGTACAGCATATTAAATATCGTTAGTCCAGAGACAGTCATCGCAGAATAACATACCATTCTTTCCTTTACATAATACATTCAGGCTGACTTTAAATGAGATATTTTACATATTGTTAATGTGGTGCTAACATAAAGAGGCTGTGTGCTGAAGGTCTTGCGTTTACGACAGGTACTTCCTGCTGCTGTGTGAGCAGAGGTTCTTCTTGTCGGGGATGCGTTCAGTATCGCATAGTAATGCACTATTCATTCTAAGTATGACATTAAAATGAGCATGTAGTGCGTTCCAACTGCATAGTATGTTTGATTTTGTGTACGTGTGAAATGCCCAGATGTATACTAGATTAGCAAGAATTAGTATGCGGTGTGAGCTTACTGGACGTGCTCAATCGCCCCAAAATCACGAGATGCAGCCACATGACTGTCTTGCTCGAGTATGCTTCAGTGTGAACAGTCTGCTGGTAATGGCATACTTAACTGTTCATTTAGTAGGCAGTACAGTACGTTAGTATGCGATTTCAAACACAGCCTTTGAGTCCATTTTGTCACCTTTAATTTCTCATGGCTTGCGGTCACTACAACACCAAATTAAGACACTTCATTGCTGCAGTTTAATTCAATTTCAGTGGTTACCTGTAGTTACTGAGTGACTAGTAGCATCTGTGTTAGTGTTGTGATGAGCTGTATAACAGAATAATGTATTTTACATCCCTGCACATAATGTTATATTTCAATAAATATAATAAATAAAAAGTACAAATATCTGAATATTATAGAACCAGATCATTATCAAAGATATTTTTTGTCAGTAATACATTGCAACCAAATGCTGGATCCAACAACATGACTCAGTGGATGGACACTTTGTAAGTGCACGGGCAAATGACACGACTTTGTTGTCTTTAGCTTTGTAAAAAACAATATTACTGTCATAATCAGCTTTATAAGGAAAACAAAAACTGACAGCCGTCCTGCTGGCACTGTGTGGAGGCAGGACACAGAAAAAAAGGTTTTGCCCTGCAACATTTTGATCCACATACATTCTGTTGTTCCCCAACACTCAGGACGTCATACCTTCGCTCTCTATAGTCAGTCTGGAGAGATCGTTTAGTCTTAGTGCTCTGACAAAGTGTTAGTGTCGCATGTGGAAGAGTCATGAATATCACTTTGACAAACTCCTCATTTTATCCCTTTGCTGCAGTCCAGGTTTGTCCTTCAGTAATTGACTTTCCCGGGAACCTGCACATTCACTCCACTGTAGTCCACCATGTACATGGGCCACTGCTGGAGACACACACACACACACACACACACACACAAAAAGATAATGGTAGAGGAAAGTCAGTCATAATGGGGGAGAGAATGCTTTCATTAGTACAAAGAGGTTGTTAACCTTGCCGCGAAACAGAGTTTTAATATCAGGCTTTAGTACTTAAACACACAGTCCCTGTTTTGAGATTTTGCTCTAGGAATTGAAATCGGGTAACAGTTTCAAGTAAGATTACACTCCTGTTTTTGTTCTGATGAAAGACGTAAGATGTTGAGAGAAGCATCAATGAGTTATTCTTTAGTTTTCTCAGGGGGCTTTCACACCTGAAAGTCCGCACCAAGGTCCAAACCAAAGTTCATGTTTTAAAACATTTGAATACATCCGGCTAGTTTTGGTTTGGTTTCACACTGCAATTATGCGAGCGCACTAAAGAACTTTACATGACATACTTGTGTCCTGTCGTCATCATCTCTGCCGGCTGCGCCTCCTTATCTATGACACTGATTGGTTTGTGAACAGTTCCGCGGATAGTTTTGACAAGAATAAATTAATGAGGGAAGAACAGATGCACCGTCGCCACTATATTGTTATTATTATGGCATCACTACCTGCAGCAATAACTATACGAGGCTAGTTCAAATTCACCAAATTAATGTCCTCAGTGTGCAAAACATTATATCGTCACCGGCAGGAAAGTAAGAGACGACAGCAAGCAATCCTTTTGCACCTCCGTTTGAGGAGAGACCCGTTTGCTTAGATAGAGGCCGCCTGTTTCAAAAGATGAGCTGTCACGGGAGATTTATAATTGTGTCCTTATTTCAGTGCATTCCTCCGTGCATTTGTTTGTTTCTGGTTTACATGGG